TCCACGTCTTTTCTACATTGTGGCAACCAAAACTGAAATGATATTTGAATATTTGTCTTACTCTGTTTTTAAGGCTCAAACTTACTTTATTGTCTTTGGTTGTTTTCTAACTGTTCATTTTGTACTGAGGATTAAGAACATGTTCCACTAAAAATACATGGTTGTCTGCTGCTCGCGATGGTTTCGAGGATTATAGCATTGCATCAGCTAAACAAGGCTAACTCTTGTTAAGCATTTTCCCACCGGATTCTAGGAGAGCTTTGAACAAGGGCTTTTTTCAAAGCAGATGAATATAACATGCTTGAAGGGAGCAGTTCTGCAGAAGCTCTGCATCTTGCTTATGTGGCTGAAAAGCGATACTGTATATCCAAGGTTACATGTGAATAACCCTGAGCCATGAAATGTACTGTATTTTTCGGAGTATAAGACGCACCTTTTTCCCCCCTAAAAGGGGGTGAAAATTTAGGTGTGTCTTATACACCGAATGTAGCCCCGTCCACCCACTGGCCCCCACCCTTTGGCCTCTGCCTCCCAGCAGTTTACCTCCTTGCAGCAAACAGCAAGAAAAAACAGCTCCTTTCAGCTTCAGCACAGCCTAATTAGCCCAAGTTGATTCCATCGGCCTCCCGACTGTCAGCTGATTTGCTCTCAGCTGTTTTGCGCTGCTGCTTGCTGCAAAGAGGTAAATTGCTGGAGCAGATTTTTTTTCTTCCTTGTGCTAATCAAGCTATGGTGAAAACAAAACTGAAAGTAAAGCAGGCTGTTTGCTGCAAGGAGGCAAAATTGCTCAGAGGCCGAGGGAGATTTCTTTTTCTTCTTTTCCTCACCAAAAAAGGTAGGTGCATCTTATACTCCGGTGCGTCTTATACTCCGAAAAATACGGTACCTCTCTTTTACCTGCAATAGTGCAATGCACAAAGGGAACCCCATATGGAAATCACTGCAAGATGGCACGTTGCAAGATTTTATGGAATAAAGAGCGACAATGCACAGGGCTTGAAGTTGTAGGACCACACAATCATACAGGTAGTCCTCGACTTACAACAAGTTCATTTAGTGACCGTTCGAATTTATAACGGCACTGAAAAAAGTGACATATGACCGTTTTTCACACTTACCACTGCTACAGCTTCCCAGAGTCATGTGATGTACATTCAGATCAGTGGTGGGTTTCAAAATTTTTTACTACTGGTTCGTGGGTGTGGCTTGGTGGGCGTGGCATGGCTTGGTGGGCGTGGCAGGGGGAGGATACTGTAAAATCTCCATTCCTTCCCCTCTCCAGGGGAAGGATACTGCAAAATCCCCATTTCCTCCTGATCAGCTGGGACTCAGGAGGCAGAGAATAGATGGGGACAGGGCCAGCCAGAATTTTTACTACCGGTTCTCCAAACTACTCAAAATTTCCCCTACCAGTTCTCCAGAACTGGTCAGAACCTGCTGAACCCCACCTCTGATTCAGATGCTTGACAACTGACTCACATTTATGACATTCCCCATATGTAACCTTCTGACAAGCAAAGTCAATGGGGAAGACAGATTCACTTAAACAACCATCTTCCTAATTTAAGAATGGCACGTGATTCACTTAACAAATGTGGTGAGACAAGTCGTAAAACAGGGCAAAACCCACTTAAACTAATTTCTCACTTAGCCACATAAATGTTGGGGTCCATTGTGGCCATAAGTTGAGGACTACCTGTATTACTTGATCTCGAGGGAGAGACCCAGGACATCAAACTCATGCCTCGTTTTATTCAAAACTCCAGTTTCAATCTTCTCCCCGTTATGGGAAGTAAGAGGGTAGATCTGATAGAATCTTAAAAAAGGATTCCAGCAAAGCAATCTTGCTGAATCCTTTGCAGCTGACCTTAAATGAACTTCAGCAGAACACGATGAGGAAAAGGATCAGGTTGTAAACCTTTTTTGCCTTCTAAATAATTGAGCAGCACAATAAAGATTCAGCTGCAATCCATCTACGAAGGGACTGGAAGATTTGGCTTGCATTTTTCAAGCAGAAAATTAAGGCCTCCTTTGAGAAAAAATGTGTTTTTTTAAAAAAAAACACAAATAAATAAATAAAGACCATTACTGAATTAATAAATGGGGGAAAAAAATCTGCATTTTACTAGGTATTTCTATCACTCCAGTTACGGAGGGAAATTTAAAGCTTGCTGCTCCAAATGTAGGCAGCAATGATTTTAGAGTCACAAGGGCATAACAACATTGCAAAATGGCTCTTTAAATGTGGGAAACACGTAGATTTCAGGGAAGGATCTAGTGAATTATTGTAATCCATAAAAGTGCTTCTTAAAATCTGTGTTCTGCAGTTTTACTTCCCTCTTTTGGAGTTCTGTTGAGGAGGTTTGTCTTCCTTAAAACCTAAAGAATATTCTTCAGATAAAATCTCTTAGAAAATTTGGGCAGGAGCTCCATAAGCCCCATGGGCTGGCAAAAATTTCCATCCTAAATTGGGAATGAAATAAATCCAATGGATGCTTAGATCAACAGTTCCCCTAAGGCCTGGCCAGCAAGGTCAACGTCAGTTCTTATAGAAGAGGTAGTCCTTGACTTATGACCATAATTGAGCCCCAAATTTCTCTTGCTAAGTGAGACGGTTGTTAAGTGAATTTTGCCCCGCCTTACGACCTTTCTTGCCATAGTTGTTAAGTTGTTAAGAATCCCTGCAGTTGTGTAATCAGTAACACGGTTTGCAAATGAATCTGGCTTCCCCATTCTGCTTGCCAGAAGGTTGCAAAAGGGGATTGTATGACCTTGGGATAGATACTGCAACCGTTATAATTATGAATCAGTTGTCAAGTGTCTGAATTTTAACCATGTGACCATGGGGAATTCTGCAACAGACGTGTGAAAAACAGTCATAAGTCACTTTATTCAGTGCCTGGATGACTGGATGGTGGGTCAGAGCTGAAGAAGCTTTTTGAATGAGAAGTGAAATGTCTGCAAAGAAAAAGAACAAGAGAAATCCGGTTGCCTCTTGAAAAAAGCACCTTTGGGACAACCATGACTTGGATGACTGAGAATCTGAGATGGTCACCCTTTGAGGCCTGTATGCAAGGAAATTTCATTTTAATGTATGCCAATTAGTGTACATTCATTGACAATGAAGTTCTATTCTATTCTATTCTATTCTATTCTATTCTATTCTATTCTATTCTATTCTATTCTATTCTTATTAATATTAACATTCTATTCTATTCTATTCTATTTTCTGTTTTCTATTCTATTCTATTCTGTTTTCTATTTATTCTTCTGTTTTCTATTCTATTCTATTCTTGTTTTCTATTCTATTCTATTCTTCTGTTTTCTATTCTATTGTTTTCTATTCTATTCTACTCTATTCTTATTAACAGATTAACAGTCTATTCTATTCTATTCTTGTTTTCTATTCTATTCTACTATTCTTATTAACAGATTAAGAGTCTATTCTATTCTATTCTTCTGTTTTCTATTCTATTCTATTCTGTTTTCTATTCTATTCTATTCTATTCTTGTTTTCTATTCTATTCTAATCTATTCTATTCTGTTTTCTATTCTATTCTATTCTTCTGTTTTCTTCTATTGTTTTCTATTCTATTCTACTCTATTCTTATTAACAGATTAACAGTCTATTCTATTCTATTCTTGTTTTCTATTCTATTCTACTATTCTTATTAACAGATTAAGAGTCTATTCTATTCTATTCTTCTGTTTTCTATTCTATTCTGTTTTCTATTCTATTCTATTCTATTCTTCTATTCTATTCTATTCTATTCTATTCTATTCTATTCTATTTATTCTCCATTAGCCTCATTTCCAAACGGGGTCAGGCAAACCCCACCGCTTCCTTGCCAGCCCACCCCCTCCCCCCTCCAAATGTTTTTGCCCTACTCTCACTTTGGGAGAACTCTGTCCACGCCCAGATGAACTTTCACACTTCACCAAAGAAGACTAGAAGCCGACAGGAATCCATGACCCCAGCCCAGTCACACGCCGGAAAGGGCATCCCCTCAATCTTTTTTGGCCAGCTAACTCCTACCCAGGCGACTGTGCCAACCTCCTCTCACTCCTTTCCCTCCAGTGGGCGCGGGGCCTGGTGGCTCAGCAGACTGATAGCCTTGTGATTAACCCCAGTTGTCTGCAATTACTGTAAGTTCGAATCTCCCCAGGCTCAAGGTTGACTCAGCCTTCCATCCTTTTCTAAGGTAGGTAAATTGAGGACCCAGTTTGTGGGGGCAATAAGCTGACTTTGTATAAATATATACAAAAGGATGAAGGCTATTGCTGAGCATATTGTAAGCCGCCCTGAGTCTTCGGAGAAGGGCGGCATATAAATCAAATTAAAAAAAAAAAAAAAAGTAAGGTCCTCAAAGAATTGTTTTGCTGGACATATCACATTGGCATAAACTGATGAAAACCGACTCTGAATATTCCAGCGGTTTTCACCTAATTAAAAATGACTCAGCCTAATTAAAAGTTGACTCAGCCTTCCATCCTTTCTAAGGTAGGTGAAATGAGGACCCAGTTTGTGGGGGCAATAAGCTGACTTTGTATAAATATATACAAAAGGATGAAGGCTATTGCTGAGCACATTGTAAGCCGCCCTGAGTCTCCGGAGAAGGGCGGCATATAAATCAAATTAAAAAAAAAAAACTCTGTGCATGCTCAGAGACACCCTTGTCCTTGGAGAAAAAAAAAAAAAAACACCATCCTCCGGGGCACGCGCGCTTCCCTGCCTGCCTTTTTTGTTTGTTTGTTTGTTTGCAACGCTGCGCCTCTTTGCAAGATTTGCAAGCATCCTCCTCCTGCGCCCGGGGTGAGCGGAGACGCGGCGGCCGGGCTGGGGAAGCGCGGGGCGGAGCCGGGCAAGGAGAAGGAGGTGGAGGAAGAGGAGGAGGAGGAGCCCGCCGGGCGGATTGCCTGCTGTCGACCTGCCCCTCCGAGCCCGTCGCGTCACGCGGGGCTGGGTCTCCACAGATCGCGGTGGCGGCGGCGGCGGCGGCCTCCCAGCTCCAGCCGTCGCCAGCGGCGCCAAGCGAGGCGAGAGGGCCATGGAACCCGGACGGGATGCTCCCTTCTTACCTGCACCGCTGTGATCCTCGGCCCGCCGGGGCGGCCGAGGCGCAGCGCGGAGACCTACTGGCCATGGAAGCGGCGTCTGCAGAGCCCCGGCCCCAGGGCGCGTTGGCACCGCTGGCTGCGCTCTGCTTGGGTAAGTCGAGGCCGGATCCCGGAGCTTTTTTGGGGGGAAGGAAGGGGGTCTTCCACCGGGGGGGGGGTTTAAGGGAGATAGAGGCACCCCCAGGTGTGTGTGGGGCAGGGGGAGATCAGCACCACCACCCCCATCCTCCGGGTTGGGCAAGCCGGGTAGGGGGCGATCTGGTTATGGGACGCGCAAAAAGGAGGAAGCCGGAGGTTATCCAGATCCTTTGCGCGCACTTTCCCACCCGTGTCCGCTCGAGCTAGCGCTTTCTGCGCGGGGTAGAGCCGCTTTTCGCCCCGCGGGACATCCTAGGGGACTCCTTAAGGTCATGCAATCCACCCCTCTGCCCACCCACCCACCCAAATCCACACCACACACATCAGGAGTCCAGGATCCAGCTTGGAAAGGGTGGGGGAAGCGCTTTTGTTTGGGGATGGAGGGCGCTTTTTTTTCTTTTTTCTTTGCTTTTAATTTATATGCCGCCCATCTCCGGAGACTCAGGGCGGCTTACAAGGCGTTAAGCCAATAGCCTTCATACTTTTGTATATTTTATACAAAGTCAGCTTATTGCCCCCACAATCTGGGTCCTCATTTTACCTACCTTTGAAAGGATGGAAGGCTGAGTCAACCTTGAGCCTTGGAGAGATTCGAACTTGCTTTTTGTGCAGGTGAACCAACCTGGATGGGATTTTTTTTTTTTTTTTGCGCTGTTGGCAGGTCTCCCCGAGTGGGAGAAGCGCCGGTGGGTTGTGCATGGCTGCAGCTTCGGCAAGCACGCGTGTTTTTTTTTTTCCTCGTGCAAGGGCACTGCGGGATGGATGAAGTGACATCAGCTTTGTTGGCTGGAGCGAAGGCGGGTGGTGAGATCCCAGCTGCCACACCAGAGGTTGCGTTCCGTGTGAGATCTGTGGGTTTTAAGGTGGGGTGGGTGGGTGTGGGTGAGTTTCTCCCTCCCTCCCTCTCTCTCTCTCTCTCTCTCTTTCTCTCTCTCTGTCTGTCTCTGTCTCTCTCTTTCTCTCTGTCTCTCTTTTCTCTTTCTCTCTCTCTCTCTCTCTCTGTCTCTGTCTCTCTCTCTTTTCTCTCTCTCTCTCTCTGTCTCTGTCTCTCTTTCTCTCTGTCTCTCTTTCTCTTTCTCTCTCTCTCTCTCTCTCTCTGTCTCTGTCTTCTCTCTCTCTCTCTCTCTCTTTCTCTTTCTCTCTCTCTCTCTCCTTCCCTCTCTCTTCTCCTCTCCCTTTCTCTCTCTCTCCCTCTTTCTCTCTCTCTCTCTCTCTCTCTCTCTCTCTCCCCCTTTCTCTCTCTCCCTTTCTCTCTCTCTCTCTCTCTCTCTCTCTCCCTTTCTCTCTCTCTCTCTCTCTCTCTCTCTCTCTCTCTCTCTCTCTCTCTCTCTCCTTTCTCTCTCTCTGGAGCAGCTTTGGCTAAGTTGGTTAGGCACCGTTCAGGAAGGCAGAAGCCCCGGTTCCATTTTTGCAACAAGTTTGGGCAGTTTGTGGCTTGATTTGTTTGCTGATGACATCATAGAAATTCTATCCCTGCGTCCGGGATATTTTTAAAAAAAAAACACACAACTTTTATTAATGTAATCCATTGAAAAATTTCCAGATATGAATAATGCATAGAGAAGGCAATCTTTTTTTTTTTTTTAAGAACCACCACATTTTAGAATAGATTTTTAGTTAGCTCAAAGGCAGGAAATGCACTTATAAAGCCATTATGAGGATAGTAATGCAACTATAAAGTCAGTTAGAAGCTTACCTGGGAAGCCCGTTTAGTTCACTGGGGCTTATTTCGAAACAGCTGTATCAATTCTGGACTGTAAGGCAAACATTTTTTTTTAATTTTGATTTATATGCCGTCCTTCTCCGGAGACTCAGGGCGGCTTACAATGCGTTAAGCAATAGCCTTCATCCTTTTGTATATTTATACAAAGTCAGCTTATTGCCCCCACAATCTGGGTCCTCATTTCACCTACCTTAGAAAGGATGGAAGGCTGAGTCAACCTTGAGCCTGGGGAGATTCGAACTTGCAGTAATTGCAGGCAGCTGAATGTTAATAACAGGCTATTAGTCTGCTGCGCCACCAGGCTCATTTTTTAAATTGGTGACTCTGTCGCAGGATAGAATAGGAATTTAATTGAATGATTTCCTGGGCCAGGAAGTCAAATAGTCTGCAAAATTTCACGACGTAAGCCAGAACATAGCAATAACTTTCCGGTCCTTATAATTATGACTCTTCACGCAAACCTATTCTTTTGGCATCCCTTTAATGTTTCCGCTCAATTAAAAAATTCTGGAACCCGTAATAACGAAAGGACCGCATTTTGCTGTCGAGGTATATTTATTATGTATAGTAGCCTATTTGGTCTGATACTGATTTCAAGAAAAACTGCAATGTTATTTTCACAGGCTTTATGGCAAGGTTGTCCGAACGTTTACCTAAGCTAGGAGAGTGGTCCTACTTTTTTAATTTGTAGCTGCTCGTCTTTAGAGGATGTAAGAGATGCACTATGGATGCTCACTATTTTAGCAATATCAAGGGTGGATAGCAGTTGAGAAATATCAGGATATGATGTCCTTTGCTATATTTGTTGTTTTATTCTTTGCATTGTTTCCTGTGTGCTCCACTTCCTGTCTTCTATTCTGCCAATTGCAGGATCTTTATTTTTCCAGGAGTTTTGATAGAGAGACATTATAGTAGAGAAATAGAGAGACGGTTTGCCTAGCGTTAGCAGCCTCAGGTTTTGATTTATTACGTATTAGTTATCAACGATGCACTTATTGTAAAGAGAAGGCTTTATTTTTTAGCTAAATAATTCCTCTAAAACGAAGATGCATTAAGGTGGATAAAATCTGTAGATTTACTTCTTGTAAGTGTGAGTAAGAAGAGTTAATTTGACAGACTGCTTTGTAAGTTTCTCTGTGGGTGAATACCTCCCAAATACAGTGTTGATAATCAGGTCCTTGAAGCTGTCTGAGCTTAATGGTTTTCTTTCAGACATTTCATTACCAAACTAGGTAATATCATCAGTGCTGATTACCTTGCGGGCAGACAAATGGAAAATTTAATTTTTTTTTCAGAAATGAGCCTTGCCGTTTATGTTTAATATAGGGCAGTGGTCCACAAATATTTTGTTTTCAGGACCCTTTTACATTCTTAAAAATAATTGAGGACCACAAAGAGCTTTTGGTGGATAGGAATTGTATCAGCATTTGCTGTATTAGAAATTAAAACGGAGACATTTAAAAATATTTGTTGATTTGGCTTTGCGGATCCCCAGAGGTCCACAGTTATAGTAGAAGATCAGGCTGAGCCTGGAGGGCGGAGTCAAGTGAGTAATCAGCCTAGAGCAGGGGTCAGCAACCTGCGGCTCTGGAGCCGCATGTGGCTCTTTCACCCCTCTGCTGTGGCTCCCTGGCACTCAAAATATGCGCCACAACCGCCAATGTGTGACACCCGCCAGCACGCGATTTATTGAGCTTTTCAACCATGGATAAATCCAAGAAAAGAAAAGTTGAGAAGAAAACAGAACGTTTAATTCAACTACATATGCTAGTTTTGTGACTGCTCAAGAAATATTCAGGCATGGGAAGGTTTTTGTGGCTCCTGGTGTTTTCTTTTCCTAGGGAAACGGGTCCAAACTCTTTGAGTGTTTAAGGTTGCAGATCCCAGGCCTAGAGTCTTTAAGCTCTCACAAACAATCGAAGTCCAGCTCTCTTGAATTCCATTGACTCTTATCTAGCCCCAATTTAGTGCTGCCCATTAGTTGACTAGATTCTTGCGTATGGGCATGAGTAATAAAGCAGCTTACCTGGAACTTAACGTGTGGTCCCGATTCTTTGCACCCGATACCAGTTCATACTTTGAAAACCACTGATCTAGGACAGTGGTGGCGAATCTATGGCATGCATGCCAGAGGTGGCACTCAGAGTGCTCTCTATGGGCACGCCCCAGCCCAGCTCCATCGTGTTTCTCCTACAGGGGAGAGAGAGAGAGGGAGGGAGGGAGGGGGAGAGAGAGAGGGACGGAGGGAAAGAGAGAGGGAGGGAAAGAGAGAGAGGGAGACAAAGAGGGGGAAAGAGAGGGGGGGGAAGATAAATGATATTACTAAAGTTTTTCTTTTTTATTGTTGCTAAACATAATTTTCAAAAATGAATATTTCAGAAAGAAAAATGAAGGGGCATAAAAGTGCATTTATCACATTTTTCTTAGAACATTTAGCTGAACTCTGCCTTGTTTCTCCTACAGGGGAGAGAGAGAGAGAGAGGGAGGGAGGGTGGGGAGGGTGGAAAGAGAGGTGGGAAGGAGGGCAAGAGAGAGGGGAGGGATTGAAAGAGAGAGAGAAGGAAAGAGAGAGAGGGAGACAAAGAGGGGGAAAGAGAGAGGGAAAGAGAAATGATATTACTAAAGTTTTTCTTTTTTATTGTTGCTAAACAATTATTTCAAAAGCAGGAAAAAAACGAAGGGGCAAAAAAGTGCATTTATCACATTTTTCTTAGAACATTTAGCTGAACACTGCCTTGTTTATCATTATTTTAGGTAGTAAAACCTCATTATTCAGGTTAAATTGCTGTGTTGGCACTTTGCGATAAATAAGTGGGTTTTGGGTTGCAGTTTGGGCTCTCGGTCTCTAAAAGGTTTGCCATCACTGATCTAGGATAAGTTCCCCATGGAAGTCATTGATACTGGATACAGTTTGTAGCCAGGAGCCTGGAGCTGGAGGAAATTGAAAGTGAGGTCGGGTGAGGATGTATAAATGCACAGATTTACACATTTCTAATCTTGGTGGATAAACATTGGGTGGAAAAAAAAAAAACAGGGATGTAAGCAGCTGCCTCCCCCTCTTCCCCTCCCCAGGTTTATTTTCTCCTTCCTGCCGTCAAAAGGAATGTTACTCTATAAATAGAAATAACATAAAAAGCCAGAGTCTTACTGTGATGTAGTTTTAATGAAAGGTGCCAGTGCTGAAGGCTATTGCACCATGGCTGAATTTTAAAGGCCCTTTCAGGTCAAACATTCTGCAGAGCTTAAAGGGGTCTGTTTGGCTTTTGCTGGCCTATTCAGTAGAGCAAGCGAGTTGTAGCTTCTTCAGGAAGACCTGGTTAAACAGCCTGTCTAGGTCACGAGAGTCCAGAGGAGGGCATGTGAGGTCATTGCGCTTAGAGTAGGGTGTTCTATGGAGATTCCCAGTCATCCAGGTCAAGGTTGTCCCAAAAATGCTTTTTCAAGAGGCAACTGGATTTTCTGGTTTTTCTTTGAAGGCATTTCGCTTCTCATTCTGGAAGCTGCTTGAATGAGAAGCGAAATGTCTTCAAAGAAAAACCAGAAAGTCCAGTTGCCTCTTGAAAAAGCACCTTTGGGACTTAGAGTGGGGTGTTTTAAGAAAGCGCTCAGGGGAATAAGGCTCTTGCTGAGATCTGGAGGCTCCCAGACTGTTGTCATTGCAAAGTTTTTTTTCTCCCAAGTCATGGACTACTTGGGCTAACCTGGTTGGAGGATGTGTTATCTCACATCCGCTCCTCTGGATGTGAGATAACAATAACAGAACAATAACAGAATAACAGAGTCGGAAGGGACCTTGGAGGTCTTGTAGTCGAACCCCCTGCTGTCAGCGTCTCACCGCTGGCATAGAGAGGAGAGAGATAAGCCCTGAACCTTTGCCTGCTAAATCCCTTTGAAGTTGGGTCATCGTGGAAATGAAAGGGGGGGGACATTCCTGTGAAATGACGAGACAAGAAGTCAGTGGAGTGACTTGGAAGACAGCCAATGAGAAGCAGATAATTGGGGATCGGAAAGGGAGGGATTGGGGGGCAAAAGGTCAGTCTTGTCCGCATTGAGTCATGATCCGGTTGCTGTGCTCAAATAAAGAGAAGATTTCCTTAAAGATTGGCAGTTTGGAAATTCATTTATTTTGAGATAGCATCGAACTCTGACACCTGCTCTATCTGGAGATCCTATACTATTTCAGACAAGTGGCTATCCAGTCTCTTCTTAAAAACCTCCACAACTTCTGAAGGCAACCTCTTCCACTGGTTAATTGTTCTCATTGTCAGGAAATTTCTGCTTAGTTCTAGGTTGCTTCTCTCCTTGATTAGTTTCCATTCATGTTTCTTATCATGCCTTTTGGTGCTTTGGAAAATAGGTGGATCTCCTTTCTGGCAGCCCCCCCAAATACTGGAATGCTGCTATTATGTCACCCCTTTTTTCACTAGACTAGACATACCCAATTCCACTCCAAAAGATGGATTTAAAACCGGAAATGTTCCTCCTAGGAATGATTGAAAAAAAAATGGAAAAAAGTTTGTACTATATTACATTGCATATTCTAACAGCAGCTAGAATTACTTTAGCGCAAATATGGAAGCTGACCAATACACCATCTGAAGAAATAATAATTAAAAAGATCTTCCAATGCGCCGAAATGGATAAATTAACAATGGAGATCAAAGAAAGAGATGACCCGGACTATTACAAAAGTGTGGAACAGGTTTTATACCTGGCTAGAAAATAGAAATCAAATTAAGAAATAAGAATATAAACTGAAATTCGGTATTAATACACTGGATATAAATATATGTAACAATCCTGCTTAAAAAAATGTTAATTATGGGCATACAAAAATAAGAGAAGGATTAGGAAGATGGAATTTAAACGTAAAGACAAATGTTGATTCAGAAAGTTGTAAAATTGTATATAAATGTTGTTAGTTTTGTATTTTAGCGTTTGATGTATGTGTATGTTCTTTTTTTTCTTTTTGTATTTCTTTTGTTATTGTGTTTTTGATTTTAAAAATGTAAAATGCCTAATAAAAACTATTTTTTTAAAAAAAGACATACCCAATTCTTGCACCGTTCGTCATATGTTTTAGCTTCCAGGCCTGTGATCATTTTTGTTGCTCTTCTCTGCACTTAAAACATCTCTCAACTTCCAGGTTCCCTACCTTCTTTTTCTTTGTTTTGGTTGGTGGTTATTTCCTCTCATGGTGTCATTATATTCTCTGATGTATCCTGAGCCCCCTAGAGTCGTTTGGAGTCAGGACCCATCAAGTCAATAAATGAAATCAAAGGACAACATGATGACATGTTGTCATCATAACTTGTACTGACACCTAAGTCTGTGTCTTCTGGAGCTGTGTTGGCGATACTGCTTGTGCCTCCCGCTAAGCTGCCGTTTGCATAGGCAGGGGTTTCTCAATAAGTTGCATTAAACTGGTTTGCATAACGTGCTGAAATCTCAGTTTACACATTGCATGACAATGACCGCTGTGCCACCAATGAGCTAAAGTGTTAGCAGGAAAGGACCAGAAGGCGCTTGGTGAAGATCAAATCTGGGAGATGCTGGGAAGTGTCTAAAATGGTTGGGGAAGTCAGAGAGAGAAAAGCAGGGTTTAAAAGTCACAATGTTTGCAATGTGGGGATGGAGACGCAGCAGGCACCAGGGTGGCAGACAGTGGTGGATTTCTACCGGTTCGCCCAAACCGGTAGTGGCGGCAGTGGGAGGCTCCGCCTACCCGCCTGGAAGTCATTACGGACGCTGTGCGCATGCACAGATAAGATACACACGAGCAAAGGTAAGAGGAACCCACTACTGGTGGGAGAGAATATCCACCCATCTTAAAGTTGCCAAGTTTGAAAATACTGGTATAACAAGTTAGGGAGCCAACTCTAGCTTATACAGACCACAATTAAGCAAATCATACTTAATCATGGTTAACACCTCCTTGGTCAGGGCTGTCTAAATTTGGCAACTTTAAGACTTGTGGACTTCAATCCCCAGAATTCTTCAGCCAGCCAAAATGCTATTTTTTTCCCCCCACCAGACTTCCCACTTTACAAAATTTTGCAGGTATATGCCTCATTCTTTTATTCATCGTCCTCTTACTTCAGACATCATGAAATGTTAAGCCAAAACTCGCTTGTAGCAACACTTTCAAAACTTGTCCGATATAGGTATGTTTTTCATCAATATCTTACGGTAAATGCCACTATCGTAGCGTCTAATTCATGTTTTTGGATTTTCAAAACAGTGAATCTCTTCTTGACTGGGAAAATTGAGAGTGCAGTCCCTTCCTTAGGTAAGATACATTTCTTTTTAATTATAATTTAAGTTTCATGGTCTTCTTGGTGACTCATAAGCCCGGATAAGTATCATATTAAGAAAAAGATGGTCCCTTTCAAAATAAGTGAAAATGCTGAGATGTTCCCTGAATGACTTCCTTAACAATTCACTCGTTATATGGTCATAGCATCTTCTTACTCTTTTGGGGCCCAAAAACAACACCAGAGTAACAGATTTAGACTATTCCCTGCTTCTAAAACTAATTTTGGAAAGTAAAATGTGTGTCGGTTTATGAGGGAAAAAAAATAAATCAATCGCTTCTCAGGATCAGCTGATCTTTTTTTTTAAAATAGTACTTAGCTTTGCTTCTGAATTCTGCCTGACGCTGAGGAGATTTCTTAACCGGTTTTGCACATCATGTTTATTTCTTTGGCTCGCTTTGTACAAAAAATAAAATAAAATCCTTTCCTTTTGGCAGACCTATTTAGGCTATTGATCCACTCCTAGGAAAAAAAATCCTGTCCCGGCGCATTTCAGCCAGGCAAGCAAAGAGTTTAGTAAAGTAGAAGGAACAGGAATTGATAAGGCAAAGATCAACCTGATGGTATTTTTCTCCGAAAGGGCAAACACTGTGGAGTTTTAACCTTCTGTTTCTTGATGCTACCTCCGACAGCTGCTTGTAGTGGAAAACCAGAGCAGCATATGGAACGGCGAGGGGTCATCTATAGTCCTTCCTGGCCACTCAACTATCTCCCGGCCATGAACTGCAGCTGGTACATCCAAGGAGATCGTGGCGATGTCATTACTATTAGGTGGGATGTATGATTTTTTAATATATATAGACATATATATATATATATTCCAAGGGACCCAATGGCTCAGCGGCTAAGACGCTGAGCTTGTCGATCGAAAGGTCGGCAGTTCAGCGGTTCGAATCCCTAGTGCCGCGTAACGGGGATGAGCTCCCATTACTTGTCCCAGCTTCTGCCAACCTAGCAGTTCGAAGGCACGTAAAAAATGCAAGTAGAAAAATAGGGACCATCTTTGGTGGGAAGGTAAAAGCGTTCCGTGCGCCTTTGGCGTTGAGTCATGCCGGTCACATGACCACGGAGACGTCTTTGGACAGCGTTGGCTCTTCGGCTTTGAAACGGAGATGAGCACTGCCCCCTAGAGTCGGGAACGACTAGCACATATGTGCAAGGGGAACCTTTACCTTTACCTTTAAAGAAATCAACAAAATTTTGACTTAAGATGGAGGCTGAGTTCACACGGCAGCCTGAGCCATAAAGTACACAGTCTTTTTGTGTTGGGACAACCTAGCTAGTAAATAGTTTGACCTGAGATGGCCAAAACAATAACGCAGGATTAGATATTTTATATCAGAATGTATACAAATAAAAATGTATTTGATTAAACAAAATGTCTTTTGTTGATAGAACTACAGACATTGTTCCACAGTGGTGACACCTCAATTCAACAGACTCCAGTTTAGGGCAGATTTCACAGACATCCCACCAAAATAATGAATGAGCATCCAAAATAAACTGAAAGTGCAATTATGTCAGCAATTTACACCACTGAGTAATATGTCATTATGCAAATGATATACATCACTCGGAGCTGTTTGTGCCATTTGGCTATTGCTGCCATCAACATAATTGATGGGAATGATGTCATAGGTGATGTAATGTACGTTCAAGAGTAACAGAGACCCTTCCCCTCCACCTGGTCTAATGAATTAACATTTCACTCTACCTTCAGTTACACCAACAAAAGGAATCTTGTTTGTAGCTCTCAAGCTACGGCTTATAAGAATGCCTTTGCTGATTAGTTGTTGTGACTTTCTTTGTTACAAGCTGGCAAAACCACTCTGCCTGAATCACCTAAAAATAATAATAACAAAATTCTTTAAATATTAACAAATTATCTATCTATCTATCTATCTATCTATCTATCTATCTATCTATCTTTCTTTCTTTCTTTCTTTCTTTCTTTCTTTCTTTCTTTCTTTCTTTATCTATCATCTATCTATCTGTCTATCTATCTATTTATCTAATCTACTTCTATATCTTTCTCTCTCTCTCTCTCTCTCTCTCTATTATCTATCTATCTACTATCATCTCTCTCCTATCTATCTATCTATCTATCTATCTATCTATCTATCTATCTATCTATCATCTATCTATCTATCTATCTATCTATCTATCTATCTATCATCTATCTATCTATCTTTCTATCTATCATCTATCTATCATCTCTCTCCCATCCATCCATCCATCCATCCATCCATCCATCCATCCATCCATCTATGTATCTATCTATCTATCTATCTATCTATCTATCTATCTATCTATCTATCTATCATCTATCTATCATCTATCTATCTAATCTATAAAATACAGGTAGTCCTCGACTTATGACCATTTGCTTAATCACCATTCAAAATTGCAATGATGCTGAAAAAAGTGCCTTAAGACTGCTCCTCACACTTATGACAAGATCCCGGCAGGATCCTTCTTCCTGTGCCCAACAAAACAAAACAAAACCCAACAAAACACCCGTCTCTGAAGTTCTTGAGAAGGTCAGGAGGCCAAGTGCCATCCCTTCCAAAGGTCACCAATCTCTGATGAAATGCAAGATGTGAACCAGGTTGCTTTTCCTTCATTTGTATGTCTTCTTTTTTTTTTTCCTTCTCCATCTTTTTGTCTCGATAGTTTTAAGAACTTTGACGTGGAGGACTCTCCCAGATGTTCAATAGACTGGTTGATGATGGGTCCTTCTTCCAAAGGGGAGGAGTACAAAGTCTGTGGATCTTTTATCCCTCCTTCGTTCATCTCTGCCAGGGACCATATCTGGATCTTTTTCCACTCAGATCCATCAAGTTCAGCGCAGGCCCAGGGATTTCGCCTTTCTTACATTCGAGGTAAAAATCTGCTCTGTTGGTTCATTCCATTTCTGGATATCTGTTCTGACCTAGGCTTCCCCAGCAGCACGATGCTGAGTCCTCGTCCTGATAAACCCCTTTTATTTAATTTACAGTGAATTCCTCTCCAGCAAAGTCTTTCCTCTCCCATAATCTTTCAAGATAGTTCACAATTACCGACCTTTATCAGGCTTGGAGAATGGCCAGCAGATATCTTTCAGACGCTGCAATACTTAGTAAAAATGCAGGAATGAACTAATTGTCACCTGCAAACTCCACTCCCCTTTCGCTCCTCTTTTATTCCCTCTGGGAGGGGCCCTTCACCTTCTACCTGTGCCTTTACTCCCGAGTCGGCCCTTGTTCCTTATCTGTTCCCTTCTCCTGGCAGTTCTGCGCATGCGCACATTGGGAACAGGCTCCAGCTGTTCTTCTGCCCCACTGATATCCGACTCCAAAGGCAGCTGATAACTGTCAGACGGCTCTGGCCCCCTCTCTGCCTCCAACGCAGAGCCCTCATCAGAGCCTTCCCCAGACTCCAGGACTGGCCCATGTTCCTCCCCAACCTCCTCACTATCTGAGTCTGCCACCAGCGTCGCTGGCCGCTGGCGGGCCACAACAGAAGGTTTGCCGATTACGTTTACAGTTTGCTCCATTATATAAACTCAACCCATCATTTTTGTGCAACAAACAATATCGACCGACCATGGCTTAATGTGATGTGTGAACCCAGCCATACTCTTGTCTTCTCTAGTGCCTTTTGTCAAGTCCTGCGGGTGACATTCCTGTATAACAAAACTATAAAGTGATTTATGAGTAGGACATTGCGTAGGTTAAGAGATAGAACCTTGGGGAGAATATTTTGCTTGGAGCAAGTTGAGAGCAGAAGGTTGTGCTTGCCAAGATAGAATTTCAGTGTTGTGTTAGGTTGCTGTTTTAGTGAGTCTGACCCTCGTTGGTCTCTTCACAAGGATACTGCTAGTGATGAGACCAGCAGACAATATTGGGCTATAGTTCAGTTGTGGAAGTTTTTAAAAAAATGGAAGAAGGCAACAGTAAACTTCTTTTGTTGGCAAGAAACCTGCCAAGATGTGTCTGTCAAGTAGGACTTAGTTCAGTGAAGCTTAATCTTTAACATCAGGATAGCAACCAGAGATCATTCCATACTTCACTCCATACAGTTCATACACTCTATAGCTCTAGTCCCGTTTTAGGCATGAAAGCCAGCTGGGTGACTTTGGGTCAATCACCAGGAGACTGGGAGCTCTAGTCCCACTTTAGGCATGAAAGCCATCTGGGTGACTTTGGGCCAGTCACCAGGAGACTGGGAGTTCTAGTCCCACTTTAGGCATGAAAGCCATTTTTTAAATAATTTTTTAATATTTTTAATATTCAAAGTTTAATTTGTTTTAAATTGATTGGGTTTTTTTTAATCTGTCTGGGCCAAACTATTTAATTCGATTTTATTTCTGCTTTTTAAATTTTGTATGTATGTATTTTATTGTTGGCTGTTCACCGCCCTGAGTCCTTCGGGAGTAAGGCGGTATATAAATCAAATCAAAGTAAAGTAAAGTAAAGTGTTAGGGTGCTGTTTTAGTGAGTTTGACCCTCGTTTGCCTCTTCACAAGGATACTGCTAGTGGTGAGACCAGCAGACAATATTGGGCTATAGTTCAGTTGTGGAAGTTTTTAAAAAAATGGAAGAAGGCAACAGTAAACTTCTTTTGTTGGCAAGAAACCTGCCAAGATGTGTCTGTCAAGTAGGACTTAGTTCAGTGAAGCTTAATCTTTAACATCAGGATAGCAACCAGAGATCATTCCATACTTCACTCCATACAGTTCATACACTCTATAGCTCTAGTCCCGTTTTAGGCATGAAAGCCAGCTGGGTGACTTTGGGTCAATCACCAGGAGACTGGGAGCTCTAGTCCCAGTTTAGACATGAAAGCTAGCTGGGTGACTTTGGGCCAGTCACCAGGAGACTGGGAGTTCTAGTCCCACTTTAGGCATGAAAGCCATGTGGGTGACTTTGGGCCAATCACCAGGAGACTGGGAGTTCTAGTCCCACTTTAGGCATGAAAGCTAGCTGGGTGACTTTGGGCCAATCACCAGGAGACTGGGAGTTCTAGTCCCACTTTAGGCATGAAAGCTAGGTGGGTGACTTTGGGTCAGTCACCAGGAGACTGGGAGTTCTAGTCCCACTTTAGGCTTGAAAGCCATCTGGGTGACTTTGGGCCAATCACCAGGAGACTGGGAGTTCTAGTTCTGCTTTAATCATGAAACCCACCTGGATGACTTTGGGCTTACAAAGTAAGAAAGGCAGGATAAAAAAAAAAAATCTAATCCTTAGATAAATCACTAATGCTTGCAGCAGACGTTTCTAACTTTTCTCCCTTACTTCGCAGGAAAGGTTGGCCAAGCCAGCTGCCAATCGGACGAATTCCACTGTCTCAATGGCAAATGCATCCCCATCACTTGGAAGTGCAATTCCATGGACGAATGTGGGGACAATTCTGATGAGAAAAACTGCAGCCTCCCCCCGACGGAGCCCCAGTCCAACATCTGTCCTTCGGGGACGTTCCAGTGCAACATTGCCCATTCCACCAAGTGCTTGTTGAACGAGCTGAAATGCAACACCGTGAAAGACTGCAGCGACGGCTCCGATGAAGAAAATTGCCCCGATCTCTCCTGCGGCAAGAAACTGAGCAATTTCTACGGGTCCTTTGCCTCGCCGGATTTGTTCCGCCTGGATCGGAATCGGGCCGACCTCTGTTGCACGTGGCAGGTGGACACCCAAGATAACCGCCACGTCCTTCTGCAGCTCAGCTTGCAGCTGGGCTACAAGGATTACGTGAAGGTGTACGACGGCTTAGAGGAGAAAGCCGACAAGCTGATAGAGACGCTCTCGTATCGGAATAATAAGCACTCGGTCAGCCTGGAGTCCTCCAAGGGCCAGATGACCATCTTGTACTACGCCTGGTCGAAAAGCACCGGCCATGGGTTCAACGCAACGTATCAAGTCAAAGGCTATTGCCTTCCATGGGAGCACCCGTGCGGGGACGACGAGGAGTGTTACTCCGATAAGCAGCACTGTGACGGGTGGTGGCATTGCGCCAACGGTAAGGACGAGGAGAACTGTCCCGCCTGTCAGAAGAACGAGTACCCCTGCGAAGGGAACAGCGGGTTGTGCTACTCCTTGCTCGACCGATGCAACAACCAGAAGAATTGCCCCAACGGGTCGGATGAGAAGAACTGTTTTGTTTGCCAGCCGGGGAACTTCCATTGCGGCACCAACCTCTGCATTTTTGAGACCTGGCGTTGTGACGGCCAGGAGGATTGTCAGGACGGCAGCGATGAGCACAACTGTTTGGTGATCGTGCCCCGGAAGGTCATCACGGCTGCTCTCATCGGGAGCCTGGTTTGTGGGCTGCTGCTGGTGATCGCCTTGGGTTGTGCCTTCAAGCTGTACTCCCTGAGGAGCAGGGAATACCGGTGAGGAGAAGAGGATGCTGTTGGGTCTGTGTTCTGACCCAACTCCCCAAACACGACAAACCCAGAGAGCTCCGAGGGGGAAGAAGGAATGGAGCTGTCAGAGAGAGACAGAGGCAGAGCCTGGGCCATCTGTCAGCCCTCATATGGAGAATCAACAGACCCAGGTCTAGAGGTGGCTGATGAGGAAGAGGAGGAACAGCTGGGTCCAGTGCCTGACGTGTGGATGCGCAGAAGTTAACTCAAAGATTCCTTTCATTAGGAGTGCCAGCAGCCCATGCAAAAAGTTTCTCACTCATCGCAAGCTAACAAGTCCATCCGGCCAGAAGATGAATATTTGTCTGCCACATCTATTCATCTCCTGCCTTTTATCCCCAGAGCTAGGGAGGAGCTTTGCTAGTAACAGTGGCTCTTCCATCCAAAGAATCGGCCCATAGATTTCCATTGCTCTCCTCTCCTCTGCCTTCTGTGCATCTGTGCGTCAGGCACAGGACCCAGCTGTTCCTCCTCTTCCTCATCAGCCACCCCAGACCTGGGGGCTGTTGACTCTCCATCACCTTGACAGGAGGAATGATGTTCCAGAAAGAGGGAACAATCAACCACCTCCATTGCGCTGTTCCCCCACAGGGGCTCCAAGATGACTGCCATAGCCATGTCTTTAGGCCTTTATGAAAAGATAGGGAGGGTTGGGGCCAACCTCACATAGGTGGGCAAGATATTTCCAGGTGGCAGGAGCCACAGCAGAGAAGGCCCTCCTCCTGGATCCCCCCAACCGGAATAATCGGGCTGACGGGATCCACAGCATGCCTTCTCTGCTGGTACAAGTGAGGCAGGCCAATCCCAGTGGGGTGAGAAGGACCCTGGACCCAGGCCATGTGATCATGTGACCCCGGGATGCTGCAAGCATTGCAAATACTTGCCAGTTGCCTGAATTTTTATCGTGTGACTGTTGGGAATGCGATGACCGTCGTAAGTGTGAGGACCATCCATAAGCCACCTTTTTTTTAAGTGACCTTGTAACTTTGAATGCTTACTAAGCAAATGGTTGTAAGTCAAGGACTTCCTGTAGAAGCGATCCACCCATCCACACTTGATGCTACCTGGTCAGTTTCTCTCCTCTCCCTCATTTTTCCTTTGATCCCATTTCCAGGGCATTTGAAACCCAGATGACTCGCCTGGAGGCGGAGTTCGTAAGGCGCGAGGCTCCTCCTTCTTACGGGCAGCTGATCGCACAAGGCCTCATTCCACCTGTGGAAGACTTCCCTGTTTATAATGCATCCCAGGTAAGGCCTTAGAATAGAATAGGTATAGGTATAGGAAGAATAAGAAAGAAGCTGGAAGGGACCTTGGAGGTCTTCTAGTCCAGCCCCCTGCTTAAGCAGGAGAACCTATACCAGTGATGGTTAACCTTTTTGGTGCCGAGTGCCCAAAGTGCACACACACGAATGTACACATATGTGCTTGGACCTCTGGAGGCAACGTCTGTTCATTGGTTGGTTGTTCTCCCTGTCAGAAAATTTCTCCTTATTTCTAGGTTGAATCAAAATTAGAGTTTTGACGAAACTCACTAGGGGAAATATTTGATTTTTTTAAAAAAAAATTTAAATCTTTGCAGGCTTCCGTGCTGCAGAACATCCGAACGGCCATGAGGCGGCAAATGAGGCGCCATTCCTCGAGGCGCGGCTCTTCCCGCCAACGTTTGGGCAGACTCTGGAACAGATTCTTTCACAGGCCGCGAGCGAGGGGCCAGGTCCCGCTCTTACACCCTGCGCGCACCTCCCAGACGGTTCTGGGGGACGGGATCCTGAACTGCACAGACGAGGTGCCTGCGGAGAGTCTCCCGGCCTCTCCTGAGGAGGCTTGTGGCCCACCTGGAGGGGTTTCTGAACCTGGCAACAGCCCCTCGGCCTTGCAGGCAGAAGCAACAGAGGTCCCGTCCACTGAGAGTCTGCCAAGCCCTTGCCCAGCTGCTCTGCCGGACGCTGAGAGCCAGCACAGCTGTATGGCCGAAGATGCCCCTGAGGGCAGACTCCCACAAGCCGGCAAGGCAGATTCAGGAAGAACATTTAGGGACCCTTTGCTGGAAAGAGTGACAGAAATTCACCAACGGAGCAGGAGGTCACATGGCAGGACAGCTGGAGATGGCAGGCATTCTCAGCTGCTGAGGGAAGAACTGCATCACTCAATGCCCTTAAAAAACTGGGAGTCTGGGTACCCTGAAAGCCATGGAGCCCTCCCTCTTCGGGGGGAACATCGGCCCAACGGTGACCCGCACTTATGTCACGAAGAACCTTTTGGCATTCACCCTCCTTGTTGCCATTCCATGGAAGTGCCAATACCCGCCCCCCCTCTCCCTGAAAGGAGCCCCAGTGATGACGAGTCTTTGTTGGTGTGCTGAAGGGTCACGTCCGCAGGCAGAAGCCCACCCTGTGTGCCATGACCGGGTAAACGGCACAGGTCCCATAATCCACATCCTAGGTACAATGACACCAGGGGGCAGGTCACCTCGCTAGCTCCCCCTGGTGCGCGTGCCACGGTAGGATACCCCACTCTCTGCCTACACCAGGGGTGATTTCACTTGCCTTCGCTACCGGTTTGCAAATGTGAGCGTGTGCGACTCCACGCATGCGCAGAGTGTCAAAAAATGGGACGTGATGACGTCTGGGCAGGTGGGCGGAGCCTCCCGCTGCTGCCGCTACCGGTTTGCTAGAACCGGATAGAACCGGCTGCATACCACCACTGGCTGACACCCCCACGTCTCGTTTGTCTCTTTCTTTACAGCATGTCTGTCTTCGCGAAGAATAGCTTATAGACAGCCGGGGAGAAAGAGTCTTCACAGCCTCTTTTCTCTCTTCCCGTCTTTCAGTTATAAATGTGCCGAGATGGATAGAGGAGAGATACAATGGTTGTCTGGCTCTAAAAAGTGAGGAGGATGACCTTGAGAGAAGTAGACTAGATCTGTTACCAAAGCAACGGGAGGAGAAAGCATGGATTAAGTCCAAAAGAAGCAGGAAGAATGCCGAACCGGCTCAGACACTTCCCTAATTCTCCTGAGTATAAGATGGGGGTGGGGGGTAAGTCCAGCACAACCAGACTTACAAAATTCCATTATTATAGCCAATCTCAATAAAAAAAAATAGTTTTAGTGTTGCCATGGAATTGATTCCTGGTCTGGACTCCCTGATGGGTTTAACTCTGCCTGGCGTGGCTTCACGTGCTGTGCGAAAGCTATTGAGGCCATGGCTTGGATGGAGTATCCTGTATGAACCTGGTCAGTTGTGGTTTATTCAATAGACCGCGCTTAAGCCATGGCCGAAGGTCAGCTTTAGGTATTAAGAGCTAGAAGCTTGACGATCCCACCTGTAGCTCCTCTTGTTCATTTTACGGCATATTTGTGGCTAAAGAATGGACATGTTCAAAGTTCCTTGGACATCTTGGTTGCTTGAATGTAAGGCTGGGTTTGATGCCCTCGAATAAGTAACTCCATCCATGGGTAAAGAGGAACCATACATGACCCACATTGACGTGTGTCAAGAAAGAGGTCATTTACGGTAGTAGTAAAGTCTTCTTTCTAGGTCAGGGTTGTGAAACTCGAGGCCCGCGGGCCAGATCTGCCCCATGGGGTGCTTAGATCTGGCCCATGGGGCTTCCCTAGAAACAGCAAAGGGCCGTGGTGCCTCCGCCAGCCAAAACGGAGCTTGTGAGGACCGTGTGCAGCCCTCCCGAGCTCTGTTTTCGGCTGCAACGGCCTCCTGCAGCCCTCTGCCAGTGAAAACGGAGCTCGGAAGGGCTGCAGGACATTGAGATGGCCACGCCCACCCCACCCACTCGGTCCCCCAAAGTCAAACACAACCCTGATGCGGCCCTTAATGAAATTGAGTCTGACACCCCTGTTCTGCCATCATCAGAACATGAGCAGTGCCTTGTTGGCTTGGACCTCTGGTCCATTTAGTTCACCAATCTGTTTTCACATTGACCAGCCGACTGCCTGGGGAAGTCCACTATCCTCCTAGGAGATGGCCTTCAGAGGTTGCCCCACTGCCCTCAAGGCTAATAGCTGTTGATCTCCCCCCCAACACTTCCATGAATGGGTCCATCCCTTTTTGGAAGCCACACGAGCATCACTGCTTCTGACAGTTGTTGCAATTCTTCCACTGTTTTCCTTATTACCGCGGGGGGTGGGGGGAGGACTTTTCTTGTCCCTCAATTTCCCAATCTGCACCTGTTCCCCAGAGAAAAGGGTAGCTCAGAGTGATTCCTCCTACAGGTTCACAGAAGTCATCCCAACCCAACACAGTTCCATCTGCCTTTGACACACGGGTGAAATCTAGCAGGTTCTGATAGGTTTGGGAGAACCGGTAGCGGAAATTTTGAGCAGTCCGGAGAACCGGCAAATACCACTTCTGACTGGCCCCAGAGTGGGGTGGGAATGGAGATTTTGCTATATCCTTCCCCTACCATGCCCACCAAGCCAAGCCCACCAAGCCACACCACGCCCACCAAGCCACGCCCACAAAACCAGTAGTAAAAAAAAATTGGATTTCACCACTGCTTTGACCCCCCCCCCGGATACATGGATGCCAGTTGAAACCACTGCTATGAATTAACCTTCTCTTTTGTTTGTACCCGCCTGTAAAATTGGTTCCTTCTGCTTCTAGAAATGTGAGTTTTTCTACGACCCAGTCAGAACCTGTTACGAGGCATGGCTGGCTGACAACAGCTAGCACAGGGATTACCGGGACTGTTTAAATGAAAAAAATCCAATGATTGCCAGTTTATAATATTGGTCTACACTGGGTAAACTATGTGATGGGGAAACCGAGCCCTTGGAGCTGCATTTCTTTTATTTCTTAATAATAATAATAATAATAATAATAAAGCTTCACCCACTCGCTTGTTTGTTCCTTTCGTGATAAAAGTCAAGAAATGCCCAGGACTTTCAACGGTTCTGTCTGGTACATAAACAGAAAAATATTGTTTTTTTATTAGCTGCTAAGCCACTGTAATAACAAGCCAACCTTTTTGAGATTGTGGGTTGGATCAAAAGTCACATTCAGTAACAATTGTAATGTTGGGTATGGCACTTTGATTTTTTTAATTTCGCCATTTTAATCTTTAATCTTAATCTTGTACCTTGCATCCCCTTTGATCCCTGGTTTTTTTTTTTTGACAAGAAGCCAATTTAAAACGTTGAGAAGGTTTGAGCATTTCTGGTTCTGCATTTGAGTTCTGTCAACTGTTTTAGGAGGTTTTTCTGGTGTTCATTGGAGAAAAACTCAGCAAATGCAAGGATACTGGGCTTTAGAGAATGGCCAAACTCTTGGTTCTATAAATTGGGTTCGGTTAATCTGGTAAATGTGTGCTCTCTCTCTCTCTCTCTGACTTGCATTAATGGACCAAACTGTCACTTCTACTTTCCCACCCAAGATACAAAATTGGAGGCTTCAGTAGAATATAAAGGTAAAGGTAAAGATTCTCCTCGCACATATGTGCTAGTCGTTCCTGACTCTAGGGGGCGGTGCTCATCTCCGTTTCAAAGCCGAAGAGCCAGCGCTGTCCGAAGACGTCTCCGTGGTCGTGTGGCCGGCATGACTAAATGCCAAAGGCTCACGGAACACTGTTACCTTCCCAGCAAAGGTGGTCCCTATTTTTCTACTTGCATTTTTTACCTGCTTTTGAACTGCTAGGTTGGCAGAAGCTGGGACCAGTAACAGGAGCTCACTCGTTACGCGGCGCTAGGGATTCAAACCGCTGAATCAGTAGAGTATACTGTATGTAAAATGCTTGGATGCAAAAATCTTCAAAAGTAATTTTGAATGAAGGAGATGGAGAAATTACTTAACTAAAGGAGAAATGGTTTAGCAATGTTTTTCAGGTACTGGATATATTGTACGATTTTGCATGATGAAATGGGCCTATTATGTAATGATGATGATGATGGATGATGGTAATTTAAAAATTGCAAACCGTTTAATCCTTCTCTTCGTTAGACTAGGCATACCCAGTTCCTGCAACCATTCATCATATGATTTAGCCTCCAGCTCCCTCATCATCATCATCATCATCTTAATGGCTCTTCTCTGCGCTCTTTCTAAAGCCTCTACTTCTTTTTTTAATCATGGTGATCAGAATTGGACACAATATTAACAGATTAACAGAGTTAGAAGGGACCTTTTAGGCTATCTAGTCCAACCCCCCCACCCCCAAACAGGAGACGCTACACCATTAATGACAGACGGCAGTCCAGTCTCTCTACAAGTGTGGTCTCACCACTGAAGTGTAAAGTGGTACTTTGTACTGTGATGTGAAGTATGAGACACGGTGGCGCAGTGGTTAGAGTGCAGTACTGCAGGTTACTGCTGATCACCAGCTGCCAGCAGTTTGATAGATCGAATCTCACCAGGCTCAAGGTTGACTCAGCCTTCCATCCTTCCGAGGTGGGTAAAACGAGGACCCAGATTGTTGGGGGCAAGAGGCTGACTCTGTAAACCATTTTGAGAGGGCTGTAAAGTACTGTGAAGCAGTAAGTGCTATTGCTATTCCACCCTTCCTTCCTTCCTTCCTTCCTTCCTTCCTTCCTTCCTTCCTTCCTTCCTTCCTTCCTTCCTTCCTTCCTTCCCTCCCTCCCTCCCTCCCTCCCTCCCTCCCTCCCTCCTTGGTGGTGCAATAGTTAGAATGCAGTATTACAGGCTAACTCTGCCCACTGCCAAGAGTTCAATCCTAACGAGTTCAAGGTTGACTCAGCCTTCCATCCTTCCAAGGTGGGTAAAATGGAGGACCCAGATTGTTGGGGGTGATATGATGATACTGTAAAACTGCTTAGAGAGGGCTATAAAGCACTGTAAAGCAGTATATAAGTCTAAGCGCTATTGCTATTGCTACTGCAATGGTTCTCAACCTGAGGTCTGCAGACCCTGGGTGGGGGCACGATGTCATCACAGGGGGTGGGGGTGTCCACTGAAGGCTTGAAGAAATGTTATGATTTAAATCTTGAGTTACGTCTTGGTGGTTTGGCGCCATAGTCTGTCATCAATAACCTCCCATTGGCCAATCCGCTCCCACAGAGAGGGTCTCCTCAGGGTGCCGTCGGTCAAGCAATGTCGACTGGCGACCCCCAGGGGGAGAGCCTTCTCTGTGGGGGCACCCGCCCTTTGGAACGAGCTACCCCCCAGGGATACGACTGATCCCGGACCTCCATACTTTCCGCCGGGCGCTGAAGACTTTCTTATTTCATCAAGCCGGGCTGGCTTAAAATTTTTAATTGGTTAATTTTATGGGTAAGGGGTTTTAAATTGGGGAAGCCAAATTTGATTTAATTATTTTTTCAATTATTTTAATTTTCATATTGTATGTATTTTAATCCTGGCTGTTCACCACCCTGAGTCCTTCGGGAGAAGAGCGGTATAAAAATTAAATAAATAAATAAATAAATAAATAAATAAATAAATAAATAAATAAATAATAATAAATAGTCGGTGGCCACAAAAGGTATTTAAAGGGAGCCCATAGTGAAAGAAAGGTTGAGAACCCCTGAAGGATTCTCCAACCTTGGCAACTTTAAGACTTCTGAACTTCAACTTCCAGAATTCCTCAGCCAGCAAAGCTGGAGTTGAAGTCCACAAGTCTTAAAGTTGCCAAGGTTGGAGACCCCTGGTATAAAGGACAGTAGTAACCAGTTCCCTTAAAGATGTGTTCAATTTTCCGAGAAGAGACAGAGCAAGAGGAGAGACAGGCCCTCCTTTTGGAAATTTGCAGAAACTTTACAAAAAACTTTTATGGCTTTCATAACAGTTGGTTGATAGCGATATTTTTTTATACTTGGTCATTTCAAACTTGCACGTAAAACGCATCACGAAAAAAAACAACCCACTGAGCTCATTTTACTTTTATTTTCTTCCTTTTCAGGATAAAGAGCTAAACACTTTTAGGCGCCTCCTAGAGTTGTCCCAAATGACGGTCCTCGTTTCTTAAAAAAAGAAATCCCCAAAAAACACCCTCCCAAATCAGGGTTCTTTCCTCTCCCCAGCCAAAAAATATATATGCCATAATGTAAACAAAATCTACTTATTCTGTAAAAAGTATCATTGTTTTTTTTTTTAAGGTCTTTTGACTTCTTGAGAGGGATAATCGGTGAAAGGTAGATCGTCTTCAGGAGATTCCTTCTGAGGGTAGACAACGAAACAGATCTTCTGGCCCCAGTGGGTTAAAGATTCTGAAAAAAAAAAGATCAAAGAGCTAGGTTATCATCCTAGTTTTGAGACTAAAGTGGGCATTATTCACTGGGAAGGCATTTGAACTCAACAGAAGAATAAAAGCATGACACTTGGAGGTCTTCTAGTCCAACCGCCTTCTTAGGCAGGAAACCCTACACCACTTCAGACAAATGGTTATCCAACATCTTCTTAAAAACTTCCAGTGTTGGAGCATTCACAACTTCTGGAGGCAAGTTGTTCCGCTGATTAATTGTTCTAACTGTCGGGAAATTTCTCCTTAGTTCCAAGTTGCTTCTCTCCTTGATTAGTTTCCTTCCATTGCTTCTTGTTCTACCCTCAGGTGCTTTGGAGAATAGCTTGACCCCCTCTTCTTTGTGGCAGCCCCTGAAATATCGGAACACTGTTATCATGCCTCCCCTAGTCCTTCTTTTCAACATCTGCTTTGCATACAGAAGACCCAAGAGTTCAGTCCTGTGCCTAGAACAGGTGTCTGCAACCTTAAACACTCAAAGAGCCATTTGGAACATTTCCCACAGAAAAGAAAACACCGGGAGCCACAAAATCCTTCCCGTCCCTGCCTATTTCTTGAGTGGCCACAAAACTAGCATATGTAGTTGAATTAAACATTCTGTTTTCTTCCAAAACATTTCTATTCTTGGATTTATCCACGGTTGGCCTACCGGGGGTTGAAAAGCTCAATAAATTGCGTGCCGGCGGGTGTCGCACATTGGCAATTGTGACGCATATTTTGAGTGACAGGGAGCCGCAGCAGAGGGGTGAAAGAGCCACATCCGGCTCAAGAGCTGCAGGTTGGTGACCCCTGGCCTAGAACGTAATGTTAGACATTTGGGCCTGGCCCAAATTTTAATCCAGCATTTTGGTTTTTTTCCAGATTATTCTGGATTATGCAAGAAATGGAGACCTCCCTCCCTCTTTCCCTCTCTCTCTCTCTCTCTCTCTTCCACCATTCTCCTCAAAACTAGCTTTTGGACAGATGTTGCCACAATGTGAATGTGAACTTTGAAAGACCCTAAGTCTTAATAAGGAGATCTTTCATCAGTTTAGAAACTTCTCTGATTAGGTTAACCAGGTAACGAGATGGTTTTTTCCTTCCTGACCTTGTCTAAGGCAGATTTCTGCACATCTGTAATAATGTGAGTCACCTGAGGAACAGGGGTTGGTTCTACTTACCTTTACTACCGGTTCACAACGGGATCGCGCGCGCCTTGCTTTTGCGCATGTGCAGATCACCGATGATGACATCTGGGGCAGTGGGCGGGGCCTCCCGCTGGTTTTACTACCGGTTCTTGCGAACCGGTTCGAAATGGGGGCAACCCACCACTGCTGAAGAAGCACCTGGGCAACCAACCTTGAGTTAATGAGCGGATTATCTTGTAATCAATGGATATACTGGAGGCTGCTTCCAAGGTTGTTTTTAATTTTTTTTTCTTACCTGTTATTCTATTTACACACTTTGGTTTGTTTTTCCAGTACACGCCAAGAAAAAACACTGGCACTCCAGTTAAGATGATAATCAGTCCAATGCCACAGACCACTGGTTCAGAATACAAACTGAAGATTAAGAGAAAGGCCCAAAAGATCAGGTAAGTGATTGGAACGAGGAGGTTTACCTAAGAGGAAAGAAAATATTGGAAGGGTACAGAGACTTGTCGTTTC